ATTTCACAAACTTTTTAATCAAAACAACTTTAAAGTTAGTTATAGCTGCCTTTCAAACATCAAGAGTATTATTACTTCTCATAATAAAAAGATATTATTTAGTTCTCATGAAAATGCCAAACAATTATGCAATTGTCAACAAACCACCTTACGCCCACTCAATGGAAAATGCCTTACAAAAAATCTTATTTATATTTGCAATGCAAAAACTCACCAAGAAGAAGAAGGATATTATTATGTTGGACTTACTGAGAAAACGTTCAAAGACAGGTGGTATAAGCATAAAAACTCCTTTGTTTATGAAAGTAAGGCCAACTCCACTGAACTTTCGAAATTTGTGTGGGAATGCAAAAATAAAGGTATAGAACCTATATTAGAATGGAGTATTCTTAATCAAGCAGAGCCATTCAAACCTGGTGGTAAATTTTGCAATTTATGCTTGACAGAAAAATACCACATTATTATGTCACCATTAAATTTGCTTAACAAACGAACTGAGCTTACGTCAAAATGCCACCATGAAAATAAATTTCTAATAAAGAACTTTAATGTCATCAAAGCAGACACTCCATAGCATTTTTTGTATATAATTTTTGTCGTTATTTTTTTGTTGTTGTTACATTTGATGATCGCTATTGCGTGAAACTTTTAGTTATGTAATTGAAATATATCTTAATAATTATTTAGTTTTCACTATATATATATATATATATATATATATATATATATATATATATATATATATATATATATATATATATATATATATATATATATATATATATATATATATTTATATAAATTAGTAGAAAATCACATCTCAAATTTTTTTTATTATATACTGTGTTTCATTTATAAAGACTCATCTGATTTCTGATGAGAATGATCAGATTTGATCAGATTTCTGATAAGAATATATGCGGTAGTGGTGTAGTGGTAGAGCACTCGCTTCATAAACGAGTGGTTCCGAGTTCGATCCCCACCACGTCCCTGGTAGTACCGCGCTCAACTTGCTTCTCCGCGCAGCGGCCTTTTCGTCAAGGTTCGTGTTTTGGAGTTATAGAGTTGAGAGAGGGTTATAGCCACAAAATAAGTAGCCTCCTCGTCTGTAGTGGCCTTCTCGACCTTGAGGAGGTGAAGTAAAATAAAAATATATATATATATATATATATATATATATATATATATATATATATATATATATATATATATATATATATATATATATATATATATATATATATATATATATATATATATATATATATATATATATATATATATATAAATTAGTAGAAAATCACATCTCAAATTTTTTTTATTATATACTGTGTTTCATTTATAAAGACTCATCTGATTTCTGATGAGAATGATCAGATTTCTGATAAGAATTTTTTTTTAAATAAATATTATTGTTTTGTAAGTCCAATTAAATGCGGTCAGGTTTTAACAACAAGCACTGCATGATTAAGCCATTTTTAGCATGTACAGCCAAGCGTTTGTTACATTTTGTAGTCTTTATTTTACAATTTAGTATTTAGTATATTACTAATTACAAAGCATTTAAAAAACAAATATTTAATTTTTTATTTATCTGTTTTTTTTGTTTCTAATTTACTGAAAAACATTAAGTCTATTTTTTGATTCTTAAATAAATTCAAAAAAAATTAGGTTGGTACAGTAATGAAGTCGTTGTATTTTCAGCTCAGTTTTTAGAAAGTAATTTTAACAGTTTTTATTTTGTTAACATGCATCCTTTTTGTCAATAACTGCCATTTTTACCAGTTCATTAATTAGTCAAATTAGTTTGCACTAGATGAACTGGTCAATAACCATGCACTAGAGAAACATCAAAACGAGCAGTTTTGCTGTTTCTCTAGTGCATGCCTATTGACCAGTTCATCAAAGCGATTGCAAGCAGCTTTGATGTTTTCACAGGATATAATATTTGTGAAACATGTATCCTTAATGTTAACAACATAGAAATTCATATTTAAATCTAAGCTCATGACACTTGGTGATGAAACTGATGTCTGATGTACAATATAATTCTAAAAAATTATTATTGTATGAAGATATTGATTATTTTGTATAAAGCATTTTTTTAAAACATGCTCATAGTATATAACCGTTTCATAACCTCATTTGATTATAAAATATCATAACAACGTTGTGTTTGAAATTATGTTGCTGTTGGCTACAATAGCTACCATATTTCTCATTTTATGCTGAGAAGAAAATTATGTCAATCATCTATTAAAAATAATGGCAGTTAATCACACACTGTTTATCATTAAGTTTAGTACTTACCTCCAATTTAAAACTAATTTTTAATTCAACCAAACAGTCCAAATTTTCTATACATTTTTTTTATAATATGTGAAATAGAACAATTTTGGTTGCTATGCAAAGATGTTTAATCATCAATATCTAACAGGTTTAGATTATGATGAAAAAGGTTTGAAAAAATAATACATCAGCGTCAAAGTATTTGTTGGGAGATTTGATGGGCATGTTTAGTAGTAAAGCTGAGGACATGTGAATGTGATATGGGAGGTTTGAATAGTTAAAAAAACCATGGTATTTAAGCTTTTAACAATAAGTATGGTTGTGATTCAGTTAATATTTTAATTAACTTTGTTCTTAATAATATATATTTAACAATCACCCATTTTTACAATATTGGTGTTGTCCACCCTAAAAAAAATACATCAGCATCTATTTGAATAACAAAACAACTGTCTTTGTTGGTTCATCATTCAAACATTGTCACCAGTCTTTGTAGGAAAATTTGTGACTTTTTACCCATTAAGATAAATGTGGTTTTGTTTATAGACAATTCAATATAAAAAAATGGTTGTGTTCAAGAATACTTTAAAATTTATTTTGTTTAGAAATCAAAAAAATAAACTTTTAAGTATATATAACGTAAAAACAAACAAACAATAAAAATTAAATACCAAAAAAAAAATGTATCCTAACAATGCCAAATTTTAGAACTATTATTCACACTATCAAAATTCTTTTCTTGAACATGTATTTCTATATATTTCATGTATTTTTGTCTTGAAGGAAACTTATTCAAAAGAGGGCAAACTCTGATACTAAAACTCCAATATTAGGGTGGTAAGGGTAGGAGTTTGTGAACCTTGGATGGTAATCTTACTTGTGGTAGTATAAATATAAAAAAAAAACAATATATAAACACTCCTAATCTGTAAAACAGGTTAAAACTAAATAGAAATTTAAAAAAATTAAAGAATTGTAAAACTATTTAATAACACCATTTAAATATATTCTATAATAGATGTTATAGATTAAACAATTTTGGTGTTTTGGATAGGAAACACGAATGTTAAACTTGAAAAGTATATTTATTACCAGTATTTCTAATCACAATTTACCAACTAATCAATTAGTTTTTTTCATAATCAGCATTGCACTTTTATTATAAATATGCCAATTTGTTATTACACATTAAATAAACCAAACTAGATGCTTTACTAAAAAAAATATATAATATTGTATACTTAATTAGTTAAGAAATAGTTTGAAGCATCAATTATTCATCCATCAATTGGTTACCAATAAATATGGCCATATCAGCATCATTATTAGCCTTTTACTGTCCATCAATATCTGTATCAGTCACAAAGGAGCTGTTGGTGCATTACTAATTTCTATTACATATCTATAAACTAAGGGACTTTCCGCAAATTTTGTATATTATTTGTAATTCTATTAAAAATAATATACAAAATAATAAAAAAATTATTCTGATCTGCAAAACAGGTTTATGCCAACAAAGGTGTTTGGTTGTCAAAAATTGTCTAAACTCTTCTTTAAAGTTTTATTTAAATAAAAAGTTAATAATCATGAATGTTGAACATTAAATTGACAAATTAAAATTTGAAGAATGGTTTCATCACAATAAATAATGATGCTTAGACATAAAAATAATCATAATTTAATTTCCTTAGACAATAATATTATTTGTAATTTTTTTTTGTCTACAAAAACTCTTTATTCTACATTTTAACAGCAAAAAAGTCAATTGAATACTTAAAACACACTTAATTAAAAAAGTCAGAGCACCTAATTAAAAAAGTCAGAACACTTAATTTAAAAAATCAGAACGTTTAACTTTAAAAGTGAGACCACATAATTAAAAAAAGTCACAGCACTTACTTTTAAAAGTAAGAATATTTAACTTTAAAAGTGAGACCACATAATTAATGTGCTTAATTTAAAAATTAAGCACAATTGATTATGCCTTAAAATAACTTATTTGGGTAAAGAATTTGTAAATCTTTCTTTTTTGTGAAAATATGAAATATAATATAAAAGTAAAATGTTAAAAATAAATATAAAATATCAAAAGTTAAGTAATAAGTTGGAGAACAAATGTGTAAAAAATCATGAGTAGAAAAATAAATGTGCAAAGCATCATGGTTAAAAATCTTATACAATCATAATATTGTTTGCGACCATATTTATTATATTATATATTATATATTTTTAACAAATTTGTTTGACAGAGTATAAACAAAAGCCCACAGAAACAAAATTAAAACATATCTGATCTAATTTATTTGGATCCAAGATCCACCTGTGAATAAGCAAAATTGAAATGGTCACACATATTTATACTAAATAAATTAAAAACTATAACAAGTTCAAAAATATAATAAATTAACATACTATTCAAAAGTACCTTTCAAACATAATAATATTTCGTTTATAACTATTTTTAACTATTTATGACACCCTTGTTATTTTTATGTCACTCTTGTTATTATTATATCACCCTTGTTTTTTTATAGCATATTATTACATATTGTTAATATTTTGAAAAAAATTCAAATTTTTTTATTATTATTTTATATTTAACATAACAGTAAAAATGGTGAAATAATATAAAAAAGAAATATTTCAACCTATATCCTCCAATAACAGATTATCATGTGTACTTATTTCAGTGAGGACCAAGAAAAACTTACAGTTGTTGAATTTTCTTTTGTTAAAACTCCAGTATTTTTTTCTGAGGTAACAGTTTCATTTTGAACAACTGAAGTTGATGATAAACTATTTTCTATTGGTACAAACATATTTTCATTGATTTCAAAAGAAGCCGACTTTAAGAGTTTATTTTCCAACTTATGATCTGAATCTTTACCACTTAGTTCCCATTTTTCTTTTTCCTGCTGATAAAAGTCAAAAACCTTCTGAATAGCTTTACAAACTTTGAGTGAATCGTCAGCAAAAATGTGGTTTGCTTTTATCTAACAATTTAAAATTTTATAATTAACAAAAATCAATTTAAAATTTTTAAACTAGGATAAACTAAAATGAACTACCAAAATAGAAATAAAAACTCATATAAACTTTCAGTTTATTTTAAATGACTGATATTTGATCCACACTTGCACTCTTGTATGCATCTTAATTCTATAGTGTTATTTCAATACATATTTAAATTTATGTTGTAAAATATTAAAAATCAACTATTTATTAACCTGATTTTTTTTACAGTTGAACATGGTGTACCATAAAAAAAGAAAGACTAAAAGATAACCTGTTCCAGTAAAATAGAGTCAAGTATTACTAGAAACCAGCGTAAAGAATTCTATCCCTGAACCATATCTACCTAACCCAGAAAGAATTCTTTCCCTGAACCATATCTACCTAACCCAGCCATACTTCAAATTACCTATAATAGATTTTTTTTTTTTTTTTTTTTTTTTTTTAAACATCTTCACTTCCAACAAGGCTGCAAGCAACCACTATAAGAGTTGGAAGTTACTGGAAGAGAAAAGACTAAATCAGTAGAGCAAGATAACGATTGACTGATGACTTAAAAGATTGCAAATTATATGAATCAGGAAAGCAAGATGAAGGAAGCGAATTCCAAAGAACTGATGTTCGAGGAAAAATACTAGAAGAATAAGAGTTTTTGAAGCACTTAGGAACAGTCACAGAAAAAGGATGAGACTTAATTGAATGGCGAGTAACACGAGAATGAATTTTAGTAGATGGCACAAGGGACGCTAGCTCCTTAGAGCAGTGCCCATTATAGTATTTGTAGAAAAGAGAAAGAGAAGCAACATTACGACGATGTGACAAAGGTTGGAGATTGGCTGCCAGAGCAGGTCCAACTATGTTTACAATTCGTTTTTGCATCTTGTCTAAAAGAGAAAGAGAATCACTAGAAGATCCGCCCCAGATGTGGCAACAGTATTCCATACAGGGACGGATTTGAGATTTATAGAGATAGAGAATAGAATCTGGAGTAAGAAAGTGTCGAGCTCGATAAAGAGATGCAACCTTAGCAGATGCTAATTTTGCAATGGATTTGATATACGGTTTAAAAGAAAGATCAGAAGTAAGAGTTAATCCTAGAAGATGAATGGTAGATGACTCATCTAGTACATTACCATTCATAAATATAGGAATATATTTTCATATTATTAATGGTAGATGACTCATCTAGTACATTACCATTCATAAATATAGAAATATAGATTTAACATCTATACATAAGTTTTATATCATGTTCTGGTTCTAAAAGCTAGCTCAGACATGTTCCAGAAATTTAATAACCTGATTTTTTTTACAGCTAAACATGGGGTACCATAAAAAAAGAAAAACTAAAAGACCACCTGAAGATAAAATAATTGAAAACAGTCAATAAAGTTTTAGTCAGAAAAAAATGTTTCTTGAGTTTTTAAGAAAAGTGGAATAAATGATACTTAAAAAATATAAAAATATAAAAAAATCAATTAAACCCAAATTTACAATTTGCAAACATGACTTTGTCTGAGATAAAAGTTTCGCCGAGAAAAAAAAAAAATTAAAAACCTTTTACTATAATTTAAAGACATTATTCCTTAAAAATACAATAGTTTACAGGATACAAAACATCACAATGAATTGTTAACGAAAAACAAAAATTGGTTTTTGGTATTGGTTACTCATAAGTTATAGAATATTATAGAAATAGTTTATAAGAATGGCTTTATGGTTTCATTTTACATGGAAAAGTGTTATTATCGATAAATCAAATAAATTGATTATGTATCATTTTGTTACCAATAATTAAATTGATCATTACTGTTTAATTTGGTAAAAAAAAATAATATAACAAACCTGAGAAACTAAAACCCATCAATAAGAAATCACACTCATAAAAAAATATATATATATAACAAACCTGAGAAACTAAAACCTATCAATAAGAAACCACACTCATAAAAAATATATATATATATATATATAACAAACCTGAGAAACTAAAACCTATCAATAAGAAACCACACTCATAAAAAAAAAAATTCAAACACTTCACAAGCGTTTTTTTTATAACAGAAAAAATAAATATAAATAAAATATGATGCTCGATAAAAAAATAATTTTTTATGCACATTTTTAAAGATTGGTATAATTCTATTGGGACATAATTAGTAACTGGTATAATTCCCTCTAGACATTATTAATGATTGATGAAAAAGTAATTCCATTTATTTTATGCAAGCGCTCATAAAAGCAGTAGGTTTAAGGTATGAAAAAGATACAAGAGAAAGTGTATTTCAAGAACAGGTTAGTTACTTAGATAAGTGTAATAATAAATATAAGTCTTGTTAAATAAATTTATACATGACAACATTGTTCTCTTTTTAATAACAAACAATAAAAATATTGCAAACTACATTAATTTAATTTAACATGACATTAATTGATACTTCTAAAGCTGTTATACATTTTTTTTTGTTTAAACATTGGAAATTAGTATCTGATGCTACCTTTTTGTTTTTCATATTTATGTGTTTATGTTTTTCAGTCATTGATAAAAATTCACCATGGAATTATTTAATATGAGTACAAATTGGAAGTGCAGGTCAATGCAAGAAATGTTCAAAAACAATTCAAGCTTCTAACGGCAGTACAAGTGATATGCATGCACATCTTAGAACACAGCACAAAATTAATCTTTTAAAAAGAAATAACGCAGATGAATCACATAAAATTACGTCTACACCAATGAAAATAAACACATCTACAAATTTGAGTACTTCATCAAATTCGTAGATGTGCTTATGTTCTGTACCAAATGAAGCTAATTCATTTGGTACAGTTGTTGCGTAATTTGCAGCCAAAGATGGTGTACTAATTAATAAAATTTTGTACATCTTATGATTTAAAAATACTGTTAAGTACCCCCCTTGGGCCTTGGGGAGGTGAATAATTTAAAAAAAAAAAAAAAAAAAAAGTGCTAAGGTTTATACAAATATTTGAAGTCTCCAAATATGATTCGAAAAATTGTGAATGGATATGTAACTAAAATAGGCTAAAGCATCTTAGCCAAACTTAAAACGCAAACTAATCAAGGTGAAGTGTTTAGCACCACATCAGATGAGTGGACTTCTGTGAAAAAACTGCTGTTGTCTGTTATTGAGACTACAAAATTTGTTGCATTTGACAAATTTCAGAGCTTCAGTCTTGCTAGAGGCAACAGATCAATGCCAGCCAATAAATGCATTACTCTTTTAGAGGTACAACTTAAAATATTTGGTTTTTCGTAAGACGATGTGGTTTAAACTACGAATGATGGAGCATCCATAATTAAAAGTTAATTAGTGCTAATCATCAGTTATATTTAGTGCATGGGATTTAATTGGCAATTATAGGTTAGCTAAAGGAATCTAGGAACCTAACGGTTCTTTATGATAAAGATAATTGTTGTTCATCAGCCAATTTGGAAAATCTTATTTAGAACAAGAATAATTTTTAAACTGGATTTTTTTATAAACTGGATTTTTTTAAACAAGAATATTTTTCAAACTAGAAAACAAATTTTCAAAGTGGATGAAGAAAATATTGGTAACTTAGAGCTATTATCCGAAACAAAAATTGATCTGATTATTAGGCATGCAATTATTGGTCTGCTGATAAAAAAGATTTGCAAAATTGTCAAAATATTTCACCTATCACTGATGAAAAATGATGAAATACTACAGTAAAATATCAATTGGGAATTAAGTTGATTGCCCAAAATCAATGAAAGTTAATTAAAAACTTTCATTGATTTTGGGCAATCAAATCTGTTGGCATAGGTTACTAAAAATTGAAAGCATTTAACTGATATAGAGCCTACAATCACATTTGAGAAAAATGTTATAGCATTAAAATTTATATTAAACAAAATAACTCAGCAAAACACATTATTAAACAATGAACTTAAGAGGGAATTAATATTATGAACAAAGGAAAAGTGAAGTATTATGTCAGATGTTTTACACTTTCTTCATGATCTGAACAATTTCAATAATAATAGCAGTAAAGTTGGTGATTAGATATTTATTATAATCAATAAAACTACCATAACTAGATCAATAATTGAGTTGATTGAATTTCTAACAATTGAAATAAAAATGTTGTCAGTGATAATGATTAATTAAAGTGAATAATAAGTTAAAATGAATAATAAGTTAAAAAGAGTTTAGCAGAGTGAGATAAAAGTACAAAAGGACAGATGTCCTGTGGAAAACAAAGAGCCTCAAAGTAGAAAAATACTAAAAACTGATAGGTAATATATAGTAAAAAATAAATAAGAACAATAACTAATAGTCATGGAAAGTAAGAGTCATTAGTTGTTGTGGTACTAAATTGTTGTTAGAGTAGAGCGTAAATGTGATATATAGATAGAATTGGTAATGGAGTAAAATTATTCGTTTTATAAGTAGTTACCATGTGGTTTGTATCATTAGGGTGATAAACATACATTATAGATATAAGTATCATGAATGTCTTGAGTACAGTATGGATTTGTGCCTTATGGTTAAGTTTCATTGCTACTCCTTTAAAAACTAAATACTGAGATATAAATGGATCCTGTTAGTGGATGTATTAATCTTCTAACTTGAGTATTTTAAATATTTACTACTTTAGTTTATCTTTTTACATTAAAACTTTGAAATTTTTTTTTTTAATTTATTTTGTGAGTTAATTTACTTATTATTAAACAAGTGGGCACAATGGGTATGCACATTGAGTAAATACATTGGAATCACTTTAAAATCTAAATAAAAAAAGTTAAAACTGGAATAGATTAAATAAAGGTTAATTAATAGAAGAATTTATGTGTTATACTATTTACATTTATATAAAATTTATAATATAAATCACAAAGTAAAAAGACACCATTTCTTGAACAACTAGTTCAGGCTCATCTTCATTGATAGCATAATCAAATTCAATAACTTCATCTTCACTGTGTTTCAATCCACGAATGCCTTTTAACCTCAAAGGTATGATTTGTAAATTCTCTTGTAAAATTTCATTAATAGGACGAGCCAGTTCTACGCGTAGATGGTCAGCTTGGAAAAGATCATGCTCTAGTAATTCTTTGACAGTTAACCTATTATTTTTTTAATGTAGAAAATTTTAATAGATAACCTACCACTCTTCAAATGATAAATTTATTGTATAATATGTTATCAAATTAAAATACCTTTCTGTTCTTTCTTTTTTTGTACAGTCAATGATAACTTTTTTTATTTCAGGTGATGTTACTTTAGCTAAAGATTCAGGGGGAACACCCTTGAAAAATAAAACAGTTGTTAATTATAGTGAATAGATTAAAGTTATAAAAAAAAATTAAGAAAAAATCAGTAAAAGTTGGTAATTAATCATGGGTCAATCCATATAATGGTATATAATGGTATATAATCATGGGTCAATCCATATTTAGTGGAATGAGATTTTTGTATCTCAGATTTTTATTGATTTAAACAACCTTGGGTTGTTTAAATCAATAAAAAAAAGCAAGCCATTAAGCCATTAATCAATAAAAAAGCAATGTCATCAGAAGTCCTTCAGGTTTTAGTTCTTTTCCCTAATATTTCAGTTTTTTTTGCTTAAGATTAAAATGTTTAACAGAAATATAACCTTTAGAAACAAAAATATAACCTTTAGAAGCAGAAATATAACCTTTAGAAACAAAAACATATTTTGTGCATATTTCAAAGCTATATATTTTAAAAATAAAATTAAAAAAAAAAAACTATAACAAAAATTCTTAACTTTCAAAACATGTGTTCATATTAAATATATATATTTTTTAACAACGTTTTAACTTTTAAAAAATTTTATTTATTTAAAAAATGTAATTTTTGTTAAAAAAGCAAAAGAAAAATTACAATCAAATAGTTTCTGGACGCTTTTTTTAGAGTGCCGTTACTGCCCATACCGTTACCACCCATACCGTTCTAGTGGTACCAAAATAGGTCTGGGCTCGTCCCTGACAGAGCACCACAGAAGAACATATAACCGGGAAGTTATCATCTCCTTTATTAATGTCTTTATTAATGTCATACTTAGCCAGATTTAGCATCTGTTTGGAATTGTCTAATATCCAGATATTTTTGAAATCATTTTAAAAGTTTAACCTGCAGATAAACCCTTTCTATTGTATAATTTAATTCTAGAACAAATGGTGACATAATTTTAAAAACTTAAGCAATAATATTGCTAGACATAAATTTTAAAACCATTTTAAAAATATTAATTAAACACTTGATGAAAGTTGTAAAAAGCAAAGAAATTGTTAAAAGTTCAAACACAAAAAGAATCTTTGTCTTGATATCGAAATAAGATTATACCATACAAGAGATAAAACCAAGTTAAATTTGAAAATTGTACTGCAATTGAAATATAAATGTCTTAGTTTATTTAGTAAGAGTTTAATTATCTTTTTTTATTTAAGTAAAAAAAAGCAACCTGGTTGTAACTAGGATAAAAAATCTTTTAATGAAACAACCAGAGTTTTCTGCTTAAAAGAAGCTATTTTAATTGGTCCATATATGCCCATATATGTTTGTAATTCTGCATAAAAAAAATTTTAAAGGAAAACTAAAAAGTTTGTTGACCAACTGGTTGAATAGTTATTTACAGAGTAATTTAATTTGAGCTGTACAAATAAAATAAAACTTTATTTCAATTGTACAGCTCAAAATTAGACCAAAGCCAGTTTTAATGTTAATAAATCAGCAAAAACTAGTTACTAAACTAGTTAACAGTTTTAAAATAAATAAATAGCCAAACTATATATTACTTTATATATTAAAGGGATCCCAAACCTCTGAGACATGTTGTGTACATACTAAAGAGTGTGATAAAAAAAATTTTTTTTGATTAAAACTAAGGAATAAATGCATACCAAGAACTAACTTTTTTATTTTAGTCAAAGCTCGTCTTCTCCATTAAATGATGTCATTGATTTTTTTCGTTTACATAATCAAAATTTTACACAAATGAAAAAAACAAATGACATCATGTACTGAAACTCTTAGAAGAACTCTTAGGCTAGCTTTAACTAAAATAAAAAAGTTAGTTTTTCTTGGTATGCATTTCTTCTTTTGTTTTAATCAAAAAAAAACCGAGCATTTCTTTTTTAATCATTTTCTTTAATATGAACACAAAATGTCTTGGAGGTTTGGGATCCCTTTAATAAATAGTCATACAAGTTAAACCAGGAATTGTAGACTTGATTGTTCTTGCAAAAGAAAATAACGCCAAATTAATAATATTTCTATATTTGTAATTTGACATTATATAATATTATACTATATTATAACATATCTTTATCCTCATAGAGTGCAATCACATGATGTTTTGTCTGTAGCTTGATTTTCAATTATAATGAAGAGATAAGATGACAATATATTTTATAAACCTTTAATTTTCAAACATGAAGAATTTTTTGAATCCTGCAAATAAACTTTTGAATCCATATTTCCTGACAATGTCTGATTGAGTATTAGTTTTAAAAGACTGTGCCAATCCTTAAAAACTGACAATCAGACATTGCCAATAAATTAAAAAAAGTCAGGTCACTTCCAATCCATATAAGTATGACTTAACTATTGCGAAGAAGAAAAAACCTAAAAAAGATAATTATGGATGGAGCATATATTTTTTACTGGGTGTTTTTTTTTTTGTTTTGTTTTTTTAAATTCAACTCTATATAATACTCATGTTTAAAATAAATGAAACAACTAGCATCCGCAATTCAAAATGAAAATGAGATAACACTAGAGAACTGGAATACAATTAGAGAACAAAAGATCACTAGAGAATACAAAGAAAGAACAAAAAATCACTAGGGAGCAGAAATACAAAGATTGGATATATCATTTTGTAATTATGCCCCAGTAAAATTGTGATAAAGATTTGAATTTTAAGTTTAAATTTTAAATATTTTAAGTTGTTTTATTGGAATCTATGTGCTGAAATATCTAAGTGTATATATTTTTAGCTTTCCCTTACACACAAAACAGAAACAAGGGTCAAAACCATTTTTTTTAAACGGCAAATTTAGTTGGTTCGAGGTAAAGTTAAAATAGTTATATTTTTGAAACCAATTGTAATAAGATAGTCTAAAAACCAGCAAAAGGTTGTATGTCCTCATGTTTTCACATGGGACCCATAAAACTGTGTTGAATAAAACTGTGTTGAATAAAACTGTCTTCTAACATATAATTACTAAAAGCCTTCTTTATTGATCGTATCATAAACAATAGTCAATTTTGTATTGATTCATGTGTCACAAGTTTATTTTAGGGAGTTTTATTATGGGTGAATAGTTTTATTAAGGTGTTACAACTTATCATGTGATACTTGGATATTAAACTATACTAAAATATACAATTGCTAATCATTATGGTATAATTTGTTTGTGCTTTACTTATGACACCCATATTCTAATATAAACAGATGGTTGCAAAATGGATGCCTTGAAACAATATTTATTTTGATAATAACTTATTTGTTACAATTGTTCTATAAACAAAAATTTTTAATAGTTATTATAATTACAAATTTATTTTATGAAGTTAGCATTCATCCTTAAGACAATATAAAAACGTTGTTGTTATTATCCACTTATTCTAATAAAACTTAATAAATCAGTAAAGAACTTTAAAAAATTGACTGAAGCTATGCTTAGGATTTCATAATAACTTACTAAATTGTATCATACCAGTTAATTTTTGAAAAGTTGTTGAAAGTAATATCTAGAAGCTAAAATGTTACAACAAATTTAAGACTTAAGGATTGCGGCACTATTTTTTATGTGGGGGTAGAGAGCCAAAAAAATATTCTTAATATATTTTTATATTTTATACTCCATTTGAAAAATTTTGTCAAAAAGTAGAGTAAGGGGGGGGGGGGGAGAGGAGGGCTGAAGAGTTCCCTGATTTTGATGGTACATTAGAAAAAAAATCTGAGGTAGTCTATGTTGGATCTCTGCTTGGATTAAAATGTCTCACATAAATCATATAATTTTGAAAAAATCAAAAGCATGCTTACTGAAGTAACTCTGCGATAAATCTGTGCTGCATTTTGGCATTCCATATAAGGATATTCACCTGATGCCATTTCTAACATGCACATACCAAAAGCATAAACATCAACTGATTCATCATAATGCTCATCATACATTTCAGGAGCCATAAATTCTGGTGTACCTAAAATAGAAGCTATAAGATAAATTTATAATAATTTTGAAAAGAAAAAGTGGACACAAATCAAATCATCAGCTAGATAGAAGGGGACACAAATCAATCATCAGCTGGATATAATGTTTCTTTAAAAAGAAAAAAACAACATTAATTAGTGTTGCAAGTGTTTGCAATCTTTTATCATTAAATGGGATAAAGTGTTGCAGAGTAAGTATCACATTAAGTATTCATCATTGGTACCATTTTAAGTAATTTTAAAGTAGAGGATTAAGTTAATGTTTAATTCCAAACAGAACTCGATAACTTTATAAAATACTTCAATGACAACTGCATGGTTCTTAACTACAAATAATAGTATGTGATAAGATTCAATTTTTTTTTAAAGTTTATTTTGTAGTTTTTTGTAAACATTTAATTTTATACAATGAATAGTCGATTATTATATAGGTCAACTATTAGATGCATTGTAACTTTTTAATAAATATATGTTTTGCATGAGCTTTATATTTAAAAACTCATGTAATTCAATATTTAGGATATTTTTATACACTTCTTATTTGTATTTAGTTTAAGGTAATCATACCAGTTTCAGTCATGTTCTTTTGTGCTTCAATTGCCGGCATTTTTCTATAGCCTTATGTGTTATCTTATGTGCAGTATTTAAATAATTAACTGGAACATTTTCAGTAAGGGCATAAAAAAAGCTGAAGTTGAAGGCTACCACAAAACTGATAAAAATGCAAAATTAAGATGCTGGTGTGAAGCAGTTTTTACATAAAAAATTTTAGTTTTTATTTTATGGAGAAAAAACTGTATAGTTGAATTTATTTAATAAAATAACTATAATTAACCTTTTTAAAATTTTTAATTTGTTTTAGTTCTATGAAAATTAACCAAAAAAAAATTGTAACTTTTTTTACTTTTTTTGAAAAAATACACAGAAAAATAATTTTTGGAAATCGTTTGTCTTAAGCTATCTGGGATAGCTAGATATTTTCAAAAAATTCTAAAATAGCTTTAAAATGGTGCCAGCAAAAAAATTATAAAGCAATTTTTTAATAAAATATTCATTGTAAGCTCACTCCTATAGAAATATATTGGACTCAACTCAAATGCATTGGACTCAACAAAACTTTTTTAGAAAGATCAATGATTAAAGCAATAATGGTGTGTCAATGGAACAAAAATCTATTGAGTGAAAAAAATATATACAAAAAAAGTGACATAAACAATAAACTGTTGGATCATTTTATTTGAATTATTATTGATTATAAAGATATATAAAATATAATAAAATATAACTAAATATATATATATATATATATATATATATATATATATATATATATATATATATATATATAAATATATATATATATATATATGTATATAATAAGATATAACTAATATAATATAAAAATCAAATTTAAAAGTAATAATTAAATTTACCTTGTGCCTGATTTTATTAGACTTACATTTTAGATTTATTAAGTTTTACAGTTTTTTAGCCTTAAAATAAAAACTATAATATTTTATTAAAAAAAGCGCTTCATAACTATTTTGCTGGCACCATTACCCTCATTTTAAAGCTATTTTAGAAATTTTAAAAAAGACTTCTAGCGATAGTTGAAAGTCATATCCAAAAATTACTTTTCTATGTACTTCCGGCAAAAATGTATAAAAACTAAAAATAAAAAATTAGTAAGGCAATTCTCATAGAATTCTCATATATTGGTAAGACAATTCTCATAGAACTAAAACAAAACAAAACAAAAAAATCAAAAAATTTAATCATAGTTATTTTTTTTTAATCAAATTATTTTTACAATCTTTTGGCCATAAAAACTAAAACTTTTTATGTAAAAACTGCTTTGTAACTTGAACAAATAAACAAACAAAAAATTTTAATAAAAGTTTTTTTTATCTGAGAAAAAAAAATTTTTATGGGCTCCTTTTTGGATCTTTTATAAATAAAACCACACCTCAGAAAATGTTTTTACCAACAGATCCAGAAAAGCAACATTTTAGTTAACTAGAAAAACAAAATTGTATCAACTTTGCTTGACATGTGAATTTATATTTTGCACTCTACTTAAAAAAAAAGTGTCACGCATCCCTTAAATTATTTTACTTATATAAATTTAATAGCCAATTTGTTGGTCGCACGCCTTGTTCGTCCACATTGAAAGTAATTTATTTAGACAACTTGACCACATTTTTATATAGTAGGCTTTTTAAGAATATGCAGCAAAACCAACATATAAGAAACTACAGAAAATAAAACAGTAATATTCCAAGAAAGGAAATGAACACTATATGAAATAGAACATCTAAATTAAATAAACAAAAAAAATATTGAAAAATTAAAAAAAGTATTGGGAAAAAAATAATATACCTAAATATTTTACTGTTTTTGTTTTTTAGGGAATTTGTTATTTTCCGCTACCAAAATTGATACAAGTCGAGGAAGAAAGTAGATAAGAATAAAAGTAGTAAAGAAGACAACAAAAACAAAAGCATTTTTTGATATAAAATTTATTCATGATTTTTATCAATCAGTTTATTAAGCAAATACTTTATTACTTGTGCAATAAGGACAACTTTAAAATTTGTTTTTTTAAATGTTTTTGTTAAACTTGACTGTTTTTATCAATGCACAGGAAAGCAAGAAAACTAAAATTTTTTTCAAAAATTTGATTGAACATAACAATTGCTCAAACAGAGCAATTGTTATGTTCATTATCTCTAGAATTTCATTTTAACATTGAAAACTAGGTAATATAAAGGAAACAATTTCAGACAAAAACAAGTATTGCAAATACACTTATAAAAAAAAACTATAATATTATTTTATTTTATTTTTTCCGTTATTAAAAATTTATTAAACAAATAATATATTTTACAAATAAATTTATTTTATTTTTTTCCTCATATATAAGCATTGAGAAAAAACGTCAAAAACATTTTTTGAAGCAAAATTTAAGAATTAACGTAAGAAAAAAAAAAAAAAACTAACAAAGTTTCTTATTGTTCTAGTGTGCATAGCAAATTAGTTTCTTAAAAATCGTGAATAAATTGCATATCAAAACATACAACTGTTGTTATAAAATTATAAAATTGTTATTATAAATTATGTTTTTTTCCTTATACTTGTATCAAATTCTGTAGCTAAAAACAACAACAATCCTTAAAAAAAATGAATAAAAATTTTATTTTATTTTTCTAGTTTATTTAATTAAAATTTGATATTTCATTACAATTTTGTTTCCTTTTTTTAGTATTGGTTTCTTTTTTCTCAGTAGATAAGATTAGATTTATTTACGCGAATTATTGAAACAATTTAAAAGTTTAAAAATGCAAACAGCTGTGGTCAGTTTGTCAAAATAAATTACTTTGAATGTGGATGAACAAGGCATGCAACCGCACGCACTTTCTGGGAAAGCCTGTAATACTGTTGTTTTTTCAACCACTGAATAGCTAACTTTGATGTCTGTTTGTATCTCTATCCTGTTAAAAGATAAAATGCTCTCCTTGCCCTTAATCTAAGTTTTTGTTTCAATATATCCGTTTTTTCTGTTGTTTAATGTATTTTCTAATGCTTTTTACATTGCCTTATGTATATTCTAACATCTTTTATATTGTCTAATATATTTTCCAATTTTTTTTTATATTGCCTTATGTATATTATAATATCTTTTATATTGTCTAATGTATTTTCTAATGTTTTTTATATTTTCTAATGATATTTCCTACACTACTAAGGTTATCACTTACTATTTTAAAATAGTCTTTTATTGATTCCTGAATTTCAGGTCTTTTTACCATGATCAAGAACTTATAAAAACTTTTTTTCACTAAAAAAACTAGTTTCAATAACTTCATTTAATCAGATTTTTTGTTTACAATTAAGTTTTACATATTTTACGTTGTTTATATCTCTTTTTCTGCAATTTTACTAACTCATACAACAGAAAAAAATTTAGGGGATGATCAAAAATTCTTAGCCTATTAGAAAAAAGTTTTGAAAATTGAAATCATGGAATGCAAAAGACATAGAACACAACTTATATACAAACTCATCTTTAGCTTGCAGCTCCTGCATGAATCTACCAAACTTCGAGTCGAGACTTTTTTGGCCTGTATATTTTAATTAGAAAATACAATAGAAAAATGTGAAATCTAATTCTCTCATTAAAAATGTACTGCTATAGCAGAGCCACATGTCAACTTGCAGAATTTATATATATATATCTTACACTGCATACTTAAACCTGCATAAAAATTCACTGATGGTGTCCTATTAAAAATGAAATGGGATATAAGGATAAACAGATAGGGGCTTCAGTAGATACATTGACTGAGGATTTAGATTTAGGCACACAGTATCTATGTATAAAGGAGATCTATTATAGAAAAAATAAATTTAAAAATTATAGAGATCCAAATATGTCAGTATCAGGCAGATCTAAAAACACAGTTGTAAATATCAGTTTTATGGTTAAACAAGGAGAACCTTAACTCTCTGTAAAAATAAAAACTTTAAATTTGTATTATAAATAGTAATAAATAGTATTAAAAAGTAAACTTCAAACCTATAACACTTTTAACAAAAGAAGCTTTTTTAAAAGTTGCTAGCCCTAAATCTCCAAGCTTCAGTAATCCTGTAGTTCCAGTAATAAAAATATTGTCACATTTTAGGTCTCTATGAATAATAGCAGGTGTGCGAGTGTGCATAAAGTTTAATCCACTTAATATTTGGCGGCACCAATTTACAAAAATCTTTTCTCGCACAACTTTGAAACGACGAATATACCTAATTGTATAGTTAATAAGAATAGTAGTTTAAATGTTAAAAATATTATTATATATTAACTATATATATTAGTTATATATTATTATATATTAAAAATATATTACTAATGTATTTTAACCTTTCAAATACTTTGAAAATTCATTTTAAATAAAAAAAAAATAGTTACATTTTTAATGTTCCTGATGTCATTAACTCAGTTACAAGTATGACCTCACGCTCTCGAATACCATTTTTTACCAAGCTGTTTTCCCAATAGTCATGAAAACGAACAATATTTGGATGTTGAAGAGTTTTAAGCATGTCTGCTTCTTCTTTAAACCGTATTCTTTCTGTTTTACTCAACTTTCTATCCTAAATATCCTTCAATAGTGTTAATCACATCCTTGCTAATAAAAATATTGAATATCTAACTAATAAAAATAAAAAAAATAAAAATTAACAACTTAAATGTTACTGCATGCAATATATATCAAAACAGTGCTAACCTGAACAAAAATACTCAAGTCCTGTTTTTTGGTTTCAGAGATTAAGACATTTGTATTTTCATTAAAAATTGTATTTTATTAAAAACGATAATTAAAAACTATACAATAATGAATAAAAAAAATATAAAAAAAGCTCAAGTTATTTTTTAATTTTGGTTTGCTTAAATAATAAAAAATGTAATGAGCTATATAATAAATTGTTCTTAAAGTTTTGTTTGATATTTAAGGTTATTATTTGAGTGATAAAAAAATATAAATTGTTGATTTATTTTGATATGTTAATCTTAACTTAACTTAAATTTTAAATATAAATTGTTATGACTTAACTCAATACTTAATTTAACAAAAACTAATTTAATTGTTATTAATTTAACTGCGGTCAAAAAATTAATAAAATTAACAGCAGTTAATTTAACTGCTGTTAATTTAATTGTTGTTAACTTAACTACGGTCAAAAAATTAATTAGATTCAATTTATATTATTTATTTAAGTTCATTAACTTTGCTCATTGCTTGCTTTAAAAAAATACTTGTTAAAATAAAAATTGATTGGATAAATATTGAGAAATTTTGGGGAATAGGTAAAGGGTATTTGCATAAGAGTGGCAAAACAATAAGTACGGCTAATGATTTGAATAGAGAGTGGACATTAGGAGGAAAAATTTTTTTAAAGACACTGTGCAGAAGTTGATGTTGTTGATTAGTGTAAATGCACGCTTATTTATTCAAAATAATGAAAAATAATAAAATAAAAAGCATTTTTATAATCTTCAAGTACCATAGATTAAAATAAATGTTGAAGTTTTTGCATTAGTTTAATTATTTTATATTTTCGTTGAATTTTATATTGTTTCCATTTTATTGATCGCATGCTTTAGTTTTACAATAACTGTGTATAGTTTATAACATAACTGCATGTTAGACAGCACAACAGCTGCTAGCACCTGTGTTATAAACCTTTTAGCATATTGCAAAAGATAGTAAAAAATTAAAATGTGCATATCATGAATAATTAAAATTATTTATAAAATAAACTTTTTTGAAAGAACTACATATAATTGACACATTTACTTTGTTAAGTATATTACTTTTTTTTTTTTTTTTGCTCAAAATGTAATAATAATGCAACTTTTTATGCTATTAAACTTTTAATAAAAAGATATTTGATAGTATTCTAGTTATTTGTTGCTTAAATGCTGTTGATGCCATTTTAAAACTTGATGTTATATGTTTTTTTAGGTATTATTAATTAAAAATCATACAAACCATCTGTACAAAACCAATATTCTTTATAAATCAGTCTAAAAATCATTGATTTTCATTTTCAAAAACTTTTAAATTTGAATTCAGATAAATATAAAAATTAGTTTTAACTAAATGTTTCAATAAAACTTAAACAAGAAGTGTATATGTTCAAAAGTGTGGCCACATGGATGTTAAGTAGGGATTACAATCCCGGGATCCCGGATCCCGAGATCCTGGGATCCCGGACGTTTTTGGGTCCCGAAAATCCCGGGATTCTAAACACAAAATCCCGGGATTTTCGGGATTATAGCAGGATTGAACTAATTAAATTATTTTGTAAAACAAAATGTTCAAAGTTGGTAACTATACTGAATTATAACGAGTTATATAATGCTGCTTTGCAGGTTTATCCTGTTTATGCTTTATCCTTACGATGAATGGAACAAATTTTTGAATAGACCATGGAGTTCGGGATTTTATCATTGAAAAAAGTTTCACAAGCACAAATTAAGGCAGGTTTGTTTGACTATTGTATAAAAAACAATCATTAAGTTTGTTGGCAAGACTTCTCGCGTTAAAAAGATAAATTTTAAAATTGTTGAGCGAATTTGTGGTTAAGTGATTGCTTGAGTTTATTAAGTCGTTTTGTTCATTTCAAAAAATATTTTTAGAGAATGAAAAAAATAAAAATGAACAAGTAATAAAAAATATTATATCTAAAAAAATTTAATGATTACTACATAACAATTCCCTTTAGGATATTTCTAGCGATTTGTATAATTATATTTGTACAATTATTAGTTATTGCAACATTATAATGCCCTTGACAATTAATTCCGCTTGAAGGAATTCTAGTGTGAATACATACAAAATTTGACTGTGGAATGAATCGTTTTGAACGTTTTGAACTGATAACCTTTTTAATGCTTTTGTTGTTTACCGCAATAATATGTTGTTTACTAATGCACCTTAAAAAAATATCCTTCTAAACATGAATGAAAACAGCGAAAAGGGAACATCATTTTTTCTACACAAAAAAGATAAAGACCCCACTTCAGTGTGGTCACATTATTTGAAGTCTGCGGATAATTTGGCAGTAAAATGTAAGAAATGTGGTGTAATTTTGAAAACATTGGGTGGTTCTACAAAAGGCCTTCATACGCACTTATCAACTAAGCATAATTTGAAAGTAACTTCAGCCGACAAAAATTTACCTAGTTCGAGTCAACAGTTGAATGATGCCAGAACCGACGAGAAGCCTCCTACGAAACGAAGAATAATGAGTTACTTTGCATCCGGAAAAAAAAAACTTAGACGAAACACTGGCTCGAATGACAGCTTTAGTCTCTCAATATTAACAAACAACTTTTTATGTTATTTTTTACAAAGTAGCTTGTTGCTACAGCAGCTACATCGGTACCCAAATTTAAGAAAATTTATGTTTACAAATTTATTTTGAAATTTTAATTGTTTAGTTACTTTAGTCAAATACACTTTAAATGTTCAAATATTATTCACATATCCAATTATTTGATGAAGGTTATTCTGTAAAGTCTGTAATCTTAAAACATAATATGGAAGGTACCGTATATATATTTCTGCATTATTTTAAGATCTTTATATACACCTGCTGCCTGTTACACAATTAAAACAATTTAAGGCGCCGTAGAAAATTAATGTAAGTCATTAAAACATAATGAAATTAAATAAAGAATTGATAACATCAAAAAGTATATTCATATATGCAGTATTAAGTTCTGTTTTTTAGCAAATAACTCACATTATATAAAATCCCGGGATACCGGGATACCGGGATTTTATTTACTTCAATCCCGAAATCCCGGGATCGTAATTCATGCCCGGGATTGCAATCCCTAATGTTAAGCTTAGTAAATAATATACATAATGTCCAAAACACACAAATGTTCAAAAGTGTGGCCACATGGATGTTAAACTTTTAAAAAAATACAAAGAATGGAAAGCTTTTGTTAAAGGTTGTTTGCTCTATTTTAACCAGCAGGTTTTTTTTGTAATTATACAGATTAAATTATTATTATTATATTTATATATTATTATAAAAGTTTATTTCATTGAACTTATTTAATAAAATTTTATTTTCTTGCTCAATTTTTATCTTTTTAGAGTTTGAATTTGCAAACAAACTCTTATGTGATTGTTAAACTTTAAGGGCAGAACAGGTACAGGAAGTTTTTTTAAGTTTAAGGGCTAAATAGATGCCAACAGTGTAATATTAAACAGTATATACCATTGTTACAAAAAAGTTAATAAGTCACTAAGTTTTTATCCTTTAGGCTTCTGGTACTTATTCTTCTTACTTTTCATATTGGTTGGGAGACATTAATGGTTTTAGCAATATTTCTCTGGGTGAATTTTGCTATTAAGGCCAGGGCACTAGAGACTATGCCCTACTTATTTTATTTTAAAAATTTTTTAAATAAAATAAATAAAAAACTTCATTTTTAAAAAAGTAAAATTTTGTAGACAATGTTTTTAAAAAAAACTTTAAAAACATTGTCTACAAAATTTTTTTTATTTTTTTATTTTGAACTTGTTAAATTTTATCTAGTTATTTACAAAATAAAATACAAAAAAATAAGGTCTCCATATTGCAATAACATTTGTTTAGATGATAAAAGTTTAAATGATAAAAGTATACATATGTATCCAGTTATTTTTACAGGGTGTATCAATGAGACAAATTAGGTTAAAGTTAATAGTATCTATAGATTTTAGATTAAATTAATGATAGATCCTAGTTTCAGTTTCAGTGTTCAACTTAATCAAAAACATGTTTTCAAATATATGACTCATCCATAAGTTGCTATCTGTATGTTTGTGTTCTGTCTGAACCTCTGCTGCGGTGTTCACTGACCCGTAAGTTGCTATCTGTATGTTTGTGTTCTGTCTGTTTATGTTTATATGTATGTTTGTGTTCTGTCTGAACCTCTGGTGTGGTGTTGGTTTACCCATAAGTTGCTTTATATATATGTAAATTTGTGTTCTGTCTGAACCTCTGGCACTGTGTTTTACTCACTCGTAAGTTACTTCAGGTATGTACAGGGCTTGAATTAATGCAAAAAAATCTAATCGCATTCCCCCTTCCCCCCCCCCCCCTTCATACCTCTTGCCACTTTGTGGTAATGGGGAGGGGGTGCATTAGTATAAAATTGTATCTTTTGTATGCAATTGTTATTTTTTTAACATATTATCTCTCATATTTAAATATTATCTTATAATTTTCTCGTTTGGCGGAATTTAAATTAGCGTAAGTTACTGTTACAATTTACAAGTTAAGTTATAATTTAAAGTTTAAGGTTGCAGCTAATGAGCAAGTAATGTATTTAATACTATTAAGATATTTCTTTAAGTGATTGATTTTACTTAACAAAGTAAAAGTACTTAAAAAAGTAAAAGTAAAAACATAAGAGTAAAAATATTTGCAATATTTAAACCGCTTTAATTAGTCATAGAAAACTGACTTAAACTTAAAAAAATTGTTTAAATGTTTAAGTCTGTTTTGATGCAGTGCAGGGTTGAAAAAAATTACGATTTTAAAAAAAATCGTAAATCAAAAAAATGTGATTTCTTTGATTTAAATCA